GTTATCTGATTAAGTGATTAAATATTTTGGAAAACACATAAGCAAACGTATGTAGCCTTGTTCATGTGTAGAGCTAAGTGTAATGCTATGTATGAAGACTGTCAAGAACTCATGATGATAAAAGTCAACATACTCTCAAAAAAATATTATACATGTTATATTTTTAAAAGGGTATCTCGAATGTTTTTTATATATTGTAAATAAATAATAAACGATAAAAGAGGTTTTTTTAAGTTAGTATGATGATTTTGAAAGTTGTCAGTTACAGAGTAAGAGTTTTCAATTTTTTGTTTAGATTTCAGCCAACTGTTTTGAATGATTACCGTAACCTCAATCATAGTGAATAAAATAAGAATAAAATATTGTGGCTGTAAATAATCTCAGAAGAGGATAACCTAGCCTGACATCAACACTTATTAATAATATGACTAAATAATTGTTGTGAAGATTAAATTTATAGTAACGAATATTATTAAGCTAAAGAATCAGACTTCTCGTTTCGTTGAGTCACACATTGCCATCCATAACATGCAGAGTATAGACTTTGTCGTCAGATTAATCGAATAATATAATAGTGGACACTCTCAAAATCACCATACCCAGGTAAAAAAATCTCCTTTTTCGTTTTAAATTATAAAAAAAGATTCGAGACACCCTTTTGAAGATCCAACATGTTTGAAATAATGTTGGCATTAGGTTGACTTTTTTTTATAATTTTAATGATTTATCGAAAAACTGTGGTTACAATACATTAGAATTACTGAATTTAATTTTCTTGACTCGTAAATTTGATACCGTAATAAAACGATAAAAAAAGGCCTCGCGCGCTGCCTGTGTGATTTGACGTGAAATGCCTCATATTCGTCAAAATTACTCCTGGTACATTTTGTAAACCTAGCTGTTTTTTCTGGTTCAATTAATTTTTTTCGTCAATTTCTTAAAGCGCAAAGTAGTGCCCAGGCAATCAGCGTAAGATAATGTTGTGATTTGTGCCCCATGATACTGGAGAGAGCGATCGATTATGAGTATCATCAAGGCGCTACCATGTGATACCTGTGCTTGTATTAAGTACTAAATAAAAATACAATGTAAAATGTTCCTGACTGTAACAAAGCTATATGTACTCACTTACAATAAAGCCTGAAAATTAATACACTAAGTTAGTAGGTATTTATACAAAGAAAAACAAACATATATATATATATATATATACACATTAATATTATATTAGTTAGATATTACAGTATTGGTTACATTTCTTACATTGTTGCATACAGTTCATAATTCGTTGGTATAGTAATGATTTCACATAGACCACATTGAGAGTGAAGGATCTAAGTAGTAGGCCATTTTGATACGAGAAGGTCGCCCATACGGGAGCATTCCGTGGTGAAAAAGAATTTTCCAGAGAAATTTTACAGAGGTACTTTCTCGAAAGAGTCGCACTTGGCCTGGAATCGAACTGCGGTCTCCCGTGTTCCGGCCCACAAGCCTGCCGATCAAGCTACCGCGCTCTCTGTATATACATGTCCACGATAGACAGCGTTGCATGGCGTCTATTGTTAAGTTCTTTTTTGGCCGTCTTGAAGCCCACATGGAAAACTGTTATCTCTATTTCTTAAAACCAATATATAACCACTTTCAAACCATCTACGACTGCACGACAGCTTTTTATTAATAAATTGTGTATTGATTTAATTGTAAGTATAGTGTTGTGATTTATTAGCGGGGGTCTGACCCTCAAAAATCCTGCCCTTCCAATAAAGTACTTGTCAGTATCTTAAATTTATCTTTGAATATTTTTGTATCCTTAAACTTCTGTATTTGAAAATACTTGTAAATTGAATGATTAAAAATGATTTTTTTCAATATAATTAACTCAAATTTGTGTTAAATTATATAAAACTATCTATTAATTATTACAATGTTATTATTTAAAGTGAATTTCTTACTATGAATATTAAAGAGTTGAGGACGGATCTCACGCTTCGTTGCGGTTGCGGGAGCATGCCTAGTTACCTATGTGCCTGATCATTTATTAAGTTGAAAGTAGATTTTATTTTTAAAATATTATACTACGTCAAGTGTGTATGTACTGTTGTATTATAATAACATTTTAAATACAATTATGCTTGGTAAATCGATAATATTTAGAATCAATATAATGACTTTCGATAAATAGATAACGTTATTAATCAATTAAGTTACACGTGATGAATAAAATTATACTACTTTCGATGAACAACAGTACACTTCTGAACTAAATCTCCTTGTGGTACAATTTACAAGGCTCCGTAAGAAGCTTTTCGTTTTGTAACTTATTAACTAAAAGGTGACCATACGTGCTGATCATATACTTTGAAACTCGTAGCTTTCTTAGGTCGTATTTCAATATTTTTATACGATATGAAGTACAAAGGCATCTCTGCTCTAAGACAATCCAGTCCTTTCGTAACTGTCATTAGTTTGTTATTAATTTTTTTTTTCCAATTCATAAAATTTTATTTAGAATAAAAATGATAGGAACCGAATTTATTGTAACTACTAAAACTCTATTAAATTTTATGCCGAGTCTTGAAATCAAGACATATCTAATTTTTTATGTCAGTTATCTCTTATCGTTGTTTATTTACGAAGATGATTTTCACTTAGGCTTAAACCGATACGAATATGTAGTCTTACGACTTATCAAGCATTTTCAGTACATGCCGTGATTTCAACATATTCTAGGTACATTGGATGTACAATAAAGTAATAAATTTATTTAGTTATCTTAATGACTACGTATGTGTAAGTGACTTATTTTCTCAATCATAGTTAAATAAAACCGAGTATTTATTTTCAATATAAGTAAACATAATATAACGTCGGTATACCCACATTAATTTTTTTTCGTTTACTTTAAAGTTTTCACGCCAATTTTAAAAGCACTAAACACAGAGGCCAACATGCATCTAAAAAGAGGTGAATCACATATGAGGATTGCTCGTAGCTGCGGTATGATCAAATATAACTCACGTACATGCACGCTGGCCTATGCTGACTGGAAACGAAAACAAAACGAAACACGTTTCAAAGCTGAAAAATAAAATAACTTTAAAAAAATAATAGATGCAAAAACTAGCTGAGAACAGCTGTGCTAGTGGATAAAAATAATTTAGAATTAAAACAAGTAGATNCCATGAGGTTTGATCGTAGCTGAAGTATGACTTACGTACATGCACGCTGGCCTATGCTGACCGGAAACGAAAATGAAACAAAATACTTTTTAAAGTTGAAAAATAAAATAACTTTAAAGAACTAAGAGATGAAAAAATTAGCTGAGAACAGCTGTGCTAGTGGATAAAAATAATTTAGAATTAAAACAAGTAGATTAAGATAAAAATTATACATAGTTAATTTAGGTAATAACACAGACACGGCTAGGCCAAATTCGAGAAACTTACAGTAAGCAACAGCAATATGAGTAAAGGTGTTAACTACGGTAAATCTAGCAGAGCAACATTATTAACATTTCGTTCGTTTTTGCAGATGTACGGCTTGTTGAGCTACCCCTTTACACTACCGAATTTTTATACCATCCGCAAATGGCCTAGTTTTTGGTAACCCTGTCAAATGTTCCCACTCGTTTTATATGTAAAGGAAAACGGGAAAGTCGAGCCGATAATCAACAATAGCTTTTTCCCCTCTTTCTGACTCAGATATGCCAGAGAGAGAGAGAGAGAGAGAGTCTGCACGGCCACTTCAATGTAAGTGACGAAATTTTCTAATCCCCAGAGTGCCGTAAGCCGACATCTTCTCGAACGAGTAGGCAAAGAGAAATGTACGAATTGATCATGCTACCAACATTTTGGAATACATTCGTAACTAATAATAAACTGAAACGACCGACAAGCTTAGTTAGGTTAATAATCAATGGGTCGTGACAAACACCTGATTACGGCAAACCTAGCAACTATTGTAGTTATTACTGACTAAAAATTACCACTACTAAACTTATTGTTAATACCACAATACATCAGATGATTATTCAATCAACACTGACATGAAATATTAGGCGATTTTCACCGCTTTTGTTGCAACAAGCCTGATTAAATAAACAAACTGTGCATAGCATTAGTAAAATTTAGTAATATCTTATCTTAATGTTAATATTAAGTTACATGAAAAATCTGTAAAATTTGAATGTAAAGGAGATAGGAAGGGCACGAGTGAGTGAATCACCTTCCCCTCTCTTGACGCATGTAGGAGAGCAAGCCGGATGTGGGAAGTGCCAATTTCTGAGTGGCTGAACTATAGCAGCTCTAGCCAATTAAATTTTCGGCTATTATCTTTTCCTCAAGATTTGCGCCGGCAATCTTTCTTGCATCATTTTCGAACAAGCATGTCACTGAGGCCCAATACTCCTTATAAAAAGGCCCGGAAGCTCTGAAACACACGATCTTTAATTTTCACCCCTCGAACGGTAGACTGAGTAGTAAGAGTCCGCCTCTGCTATCTCCCAGTCTACCACGAGGTGGGGACACGGTAGTTCATTTTTACCCTTGAACAGTTGACTAGGTAGTGAGAGTCCGTCTCTGCTATCATACGGTTCTCCATGAGTGCAGTTTAAAAATCAGAATTAATTTATTTATACATCTATGTACATAGAATAAAAAAAAATTAAAATAAAAAACGATGACATTTTGTCATTGCAAAAAATGTTATTTTAAGAATTGAATTTATTTACATATTTAAGTCATTGCTTTACAAGTCATTTATTTACATATTAATGCTTGCCATTAAGAAATTATTATATACCTCAAAACATTTTATAACAACATATAATTACACCTCAAAACAGTTTATAGGAACATGTAATAATTTTTTTGATTTCGTAAGTTTCAAAATCAAGCACTGATATAAAGACTACTTTTTGCATGTATACAAGGAATCATAACTATTTTGTTGTCAACATTTTCCAACTATAAAATAATGTATTACGATTTTCTTACTTTTAGATACAGAGGCATCTTCACCTATTAGTACAGAAGATGATTTAAGTAGCTCAGATGCTGATCACTCTAATACATCTGTTAACAGTAAAACATTTTCGTTAGGAAATAAAAACTTGAGTTCTAATCGAAAACGTCGAGGAAACTTACCTAAGCAGTCTGTTAAAATTTTGAAGAAGTGGCTTTATGAACATCGATACAATGCTTACCCAAGTGATACAGAAAAATTAACTCTAAGTGAAGAAGCAAATCTCACAGTCTTGCAGGTAAATTTTTTTAGTACCATAACAAGTATATATTGCAAATAATCAGTAATGTTATATTCATAATCACAATATTAAAAAACATTTTTAAGTACAATCGTCTATGATGCACAAACCTTATTTGATAAAGTATGCCAGTACCTTGTATATAAAGTCAAGCAGCATGATTTTAATTAGACTTTATTGCTTAAGCCATCTTCACGTGGTGCTATTTTTAGTTGATCATTTCTTGTTTTATTGTGCTATCTCCTATATTTCTATGCTGTGAATTATTAGTATTATTCGATAGGATATGTATAGTCTCGTAAAGTCTTTTTATAATGTCTAACTTCCGAAATAGCATTTCTATTTTATCGTTCATGACATTTCTGACTTTTCTATACTTTTTAACGTATTACTAACCTTGTTTTCTCTATTAACATTCTCAGTTTTTTCTTTAACACGTTTTTTTCTTTTTGCATTATTAATTTTCCTTTCTGCATCACTTTCTGTAAGCTCTTGCTATTATAAGGTCTAAAAGATTAATTTAACTTGTTTTCCAGAACAGACTTTCTTATGTTTTTTTCCTACTGGTTCCAGTTGCCCCATCATCTGTCTCCATCATAGTCTGCTCAGATTTCTTGCTTCTTAGTTAAAGTGGTTTAATTCAACTTGTCTCTCTTTATTTTAACTTCTTTTTCACTTCCTATCTTATCTATTATTGTAGACTCAATGTGAGCTATTGCTAGCAAATAATCAAATTTATTTTTCTTTTTTACTCAATAAAATTTCAAGTTCCTCTCAAGATTGTATACTGTAAGGACTAACCATTTTTTAACTAAACTTTTTCTTAACGTGATAACTTTGCTCACATTGCTTACACCTTGAGTAAGTGACGTACGTTTTTCTTATAGTTATAGCAATTCCGTCTTTTTTACATTCTCTTTTGACTGGGATATTCATCTAAGTAGGTTTGATGTGCTCGTTAAGAATTTTGATTATTTAAAATAAGAGACTTAGTATGGTAGCTATTCAGGATACTTATTACAAATTTTACAAAAAAACCTGTATAACTTAAAGTAGTAAATCCAATGTAGTGGCCAACAAAATTAAAATTTTTCGAAAATCCTTTGATATTTTTCCACAGGTTTTTTAGGGCGCTTGTTACTTATCTTACATAAGGATCTCATGAGTTTTAATTGACGACGTAGCTACTATAGTGACTACAAAACGAAAAGCTTGCATATTTCACTATTGACTGTTTTTAATTCCTGCACAAAAATATGTATAATTTAATTAATACGAATTTAAATTTTTCACTGGTCATTTCTGAGGTCGAAGAAACACTTTATGCGTATTCTTTTCATTTGCATTATTGCAGTAGCTTATTTTTTTATCTTACTTTTCTTTTTAATTAAAGATACATTAACACAAAATCTGTTACATAAATATTAACATTGGACTTGTAAAAACTACTAACAATTTTCTCCTCTGAACATTGTAAAGAGAATACCATAAAACGACGGAATTGATGTCTACAAGAGCGAGATTACATTTACAAATGGAAGTGTTAATAAAACCTCTTTTGTGAAATGATTGTGCTTGATAACGTTGATTCTCTCTTATTTTTGAAAGTTATATGCAAATCGGTGAATCGAACAGAGCTTATGTCTGGAGTGTCCTTCAGAGTGGTTTGTTTTGCAAGGTGGTCAGCTCCATCATTTTCCCTGTATGCTTACATGAGAAGGAATCCAGTAAAATTCAACTTTATGTGACGGATATTCAAATAGTTGAATTATTTTTCTTTCATGTGTAGTAAGTAAAAATTAGCTCCCACTGAGACGACGGAAGAATGTAGTGCTTGAAGAGAACTAATAGAGTAATAAAATATAACAGAGCTGCCGATTGCGTTACTTACAGTGACTGGCTTTCTTTAAATTTTGCAGTATAAATAAATACTTGTTGATTAACTCTTCTGGTATCAGAGAAGTTTAGAGAGAAAGAAAAAATAACTGACCTTAGTCTCTGTCTTCTATATTATTGCCGTAAGTATAAATGCATCATAAAACATTAATATTAAGAAATTTAGTGAATAGGACTCTAGAATTATTAAACTTTCTTAATTTCTCTCCTAATTTAGTGACTACTGCTGGCAAGTGACAAGTGGCTTATTAAACCGGTCATTCTATTTTTAACGTAATGTTAATTTTTCGTAACCGATATACAGTAAACCAAAATATATAAAATTTCAGAAATTTTCCGTAGAATTCAATGCTGTATTTTTAAAACAACTTACAGTCATAGATTTTACCGAAAATTGCGGCCAAAGTTGGTCGAAATCATGTTTTTGCGTTTAAAAAATAAAATATGCTTTGGAGTAAAAAAAGTCTTATACAAAAGTTGTAGAATTAATTATTACCGATCAATCAAGGCCGGTCTGATGTTAAAAAATTCTGAAATAAAGTGGTAGTTTAAAAAAATCGTTGAAAATCGCTTCTTTTTGAAACGCTTGTATATCTTTAAAAAAAAAATTTATAAGTCTACTTGGTGAAAGTGTAGCCCTTGGCAAGCCAAACAGAAGCGTTTTTTAAAATTTGAAAAACAATGAAAAGTTTTTGCAAAAACCGATTTTTTCGGGATACAAGCATTTTTTAAATGCCAATAAATCATAAACGCGTGAGTTTTCATAAACCTTTCAGGGCTGTAAATTTTGTTTAATAGTTGCCGTAATATGTTAAATTACCGCGCGCTTTTTTAAATAATCAGTAATGGGCAAAAAACCGGTCGAAAAATCGGTTTTTTTTTAGATAAAAAAAAAATTAA